CGGATTACCAACATGAAGCGCGAGCCCCATAAAGAGAGGGTTCCCGCCTGACACTTCTTCGCAATTCACTCATTGACGAACATCCGGCCCGATACCTCCCCCAAACTCAAGCCTCAGGAGCCCAAAAGTGACGACAGTTACAAATTCGAGGACGACCCGCTCGGATTACCAACATGAACTGCGGGCCACATAACGGGAGGGCTCCCGCCGGAGACTTCCTCGCAACTGATACCCCTCTCATATTCAAGCTTCAGGAGCCCAACAGTGACGACACTTACAGGTTCGAGGATGACCCGCTTCGATTACCAACATGAAATGCGGGCCCCATAGGGCGAGGGCTCCCGCCTGACACTTCTTCGCAATTCACTCACAGACGAGCCTCCCGCCTGATACCTCCCCCACATTCAGGCCTCAGGAGCCCAAAAGTGACGACAGTTACAGGTTCGAGGATGACCCGCTCGGCTTACCAACATGAAGTGCGGGCAGCATAAGGAAAGGCCTCCCGCCTGAGACCTCTTCGCATTTCACTCACAGATCAGCCTCCTGCTCGAGACTTCCTCCATACTCAGGCTAGGGGGTGAATGATGACGAAATGATGAGTGAGCGAGTGCTGATGATGCGTGGTGATGATGACGGTGATAATGATGATGAGAAGTGATCGAATGATCGAGTGATGATGAGGAGGAGGGGGAGGAGGAGGAGGTGGTGGTGGTCTGTTCATGCGCGGGGTCTCCAAAGAAAATTGTGCTAAGTGATGAGAGAGAATGTGCGATGTGCGACTGAATATGATGATGAAGGCGGTGGTGGTGAGGCTGATGATATTGATGATCGACGGCCGATGATGATGGTGACCGATGGTAAGTGACTGAATATGATGATGATGATGATGGTGGCGGTGATGATGATGACCGGTGGTGATGATGATCAATGACGGCGTAGATTCGTGAGCGAGGCGGAGTGTGGGAGGGAGGTGAGATTCCTGCGCGGAGGGTGTCTAGAGAAAAAGAACCCCACTTTGGACGTGGGGAACAAATCAATAAATATATAAATAAATAAACATATAGATATATACACACAAAACTGCATTGGCGCGTCGCGCCATGCGCTTTGTTCCAGACCCTCCCTGGCAAAGCAATAAAGCATCGCTTGCTTCAGCGGGGGGGGGCCTCGAAGCCTGGACGGGCGACCGGCTCATTTCTGATATCTCTGGTGCCTGCTGACACTGCGTTCGCCCGATGCGCTTGCACGCTTGTTCGCAGGAGTGGGGGAGGAATGATGGCTCTTTCGCACGCGAAGGTCCTTTGAGGAAGTGACGAGCGTTCCCAGGACACGCCGAAGAACTCGCAGTAGCCCCGAACAAATCGATGTTTGGTAGGTTCCTGAATGCCTGGCGACCTCCAGGCACTCAGGACATCTTCGATCGTCGAACTTCGAATCTAGATCCGTTGCCTGTCTCTCTCGATCGAAGAACTTACATCTCGAGCCTCAAGCGTGGAACCAAGATCGTCGGGTGAGCTCGATGTACTTCTTAGGAGAACGCCGTCTGGGCGTGTTTGGTGTTTTTTGGGGCCGTCCTCGGGCCCTCTTGGGCCGTCCTGGGGCCTTCTTGGGCCATCTTGGGGAGCTGGGGCCCTACAAGGCTCTTGTGAAGCCATGTAGAGCCCTCTTGGAGGCCTCCAGTGGCCTGCTTGTGGGTCTCCCATGGCTTTCGTGGGTCTCTCTTGGGAGCCTTCTGGGGGCATCTGGGGCTTCTTGCGGGCAGTCTCGGGGCTCTCTGGGGCAGTCTTGGGGCTTTCTTGGGCCGTCTTCAAGCCCTCTGGAGATCTCTTGGGCCGTCTTGGGGCGATATCGGGGGCCCATCGGGCAATGTTTCTGGATGCTTGCTTCTTCGGGGCTCTCTTAACAGCCTCTTGGGGCGTCTCGGGGGCCTCTTGGGCTGCCTTCAGACCGTCGAGGTTCCTCTTGGAGCGCTCTTGTGCTATCTTGGGTCTCTCTTGCGCCTCTCCGATAACCCCTCTGATCGCCTTGAGTCTGCTCGCAAGGCCCAGCAAGGCGTCCTGGGAGGCCCGGAAGGGCCAGCGGACCTTTTCCAAGGGCGTCCATGGCGCCGCTGAGACGTCCGAAAGGGCGTCCAGAGCGTCCCTGGGGGGGGGGTCTGGTTTAGGGGGGGGGTCTGGGTAATAAAAATATAAGAATAGGAATATACGCGGTGCCATATACGTGTTGCAATCAACGTTCAGCAATTTAGGCGGCGACACAACGACATAGCCGCCAGACCGACAATCAGGCACAGACGACGGGCGGCGACGAGGCGGCGACGGGGCGGCGACGGGGCGGCGACGGCGACAACATAGCCGCCAGACCAGCACGCAGGCCCGTTTCCATAAAAGGACTGCCTGGGATACTAAAAGGAAGCCAATGTGGACAGGCGGAGAGCGTGAGAGGGGAGGAACCGTCGGTCCACGCTGGCTCCAAGTTCACGGAGCCGATTCCAAACACCACGAGCACAGCGGAAGTGCTGCTGCGGACATGCACCGCAGAGTATCTGCGAGATGCGCCTGGTCAGTTTCTTGTTCCCTCCCTCCTCCTCCTTCTTCTTCTCCTCCTCCTCTTCCTACTATTCCTCCTCCTCCTCCTCCTCCTCCTCCACATCATCCTCATCATCATCATCATCATCATCATCAACATCATCATCAGCATCATCATCGTCAGCATCATGAGCATCATCATCAGCATCATCCTCGTCCTCATCATCATCATCATCAGCAGCAGCAGCATCGTCAGCATCATAATCAGCATCAGCATCATCATCCTTATCATCATCATCAGCATCATCATCAGCATCATCATCACCATCCCCATCCTCATGATCATCCTCATCCTGATCCACCACCACCACTACCAACATCATCAGCATCATGATCATCAACATCATCATCAGCATCATCAGAATCATCCACATCGTGATCACATAACAAATCCCAAAGTATCATCATGATATGATTCACATATGCCTCCCCTGCATCCTCCCCTCATCGCCATTATCATCATCAGCATCAGCATCATGATGATCATCATCACCATCATCAGCAGCAGCAGCAGTATCATCATCAGTATCATTATCATCCTCATCATCATCAGCAGCTTCAGCATCATCATCAGCATCATCATCCTCATCATCATCAACATTATCATCATCGTCGTCGTCGACGTCGTCGTCATCGTCACATGTACCGTTGTCCTTGGTGCTGGCATCACCGAATTCACCAGCACTATCGCCACCGTCGTCATCATCACCATCATGACCAGAAGCATCATCATCATAATCGTCATCCACCTCCTCCTCCTCCTCATCATCATCACCAGCATCGTCGTCGTCATCACCATCTTCATCACCATTATTACCATCATCTAATCATCACCATCATCATCATCATCATCATCGCCGTCGTCGTGCCGTCGTCGTCGTCGTCATGCCCTCGCTGTCGTCGTCGTCATACGTTCACCGTTGTCGCCGGTGCTGGCAAAATCATATTCACCAGCACTACCGACACCGTCATCATCCTCCTCATTCACCATCACGATCATCATGATCAGCATCAGCATCATCATTAGCATCAGCATCAGTATCATCCTAACCACCATCATGATCATAATCATCGGAAGCATCAACATCATCATCATCAGCAACAGCATCATCATCATCGCCATCGTCATCACCCTCATCGTCAAAGAAGCTGTAATGGTAGTAGTTAGCAGTAGTAGCTGCAGTAGAAATAGTAGTAGCAGTAGTAGTAGTAGTAGTGATTGTAGTAGGAGCTGTAGTAGTAGTAGCAGTAGTAGTAGTCACAGATGTAGTAGTGGTACTAGTCACATTTAGAATAGTAGTAGTAGTAGTAGTAGTAGCAGTAACAGTAGTAGCAGCAGTAGTAGCAGTAGTCGTAGTGATCAAAACTACTAGTCCTAATACTAGTCGTGATAGCAGTAATACTCGAACTGCACATAATAGTCGTAGTAGTAGTAGTAGTAGTAGTAGTACTACTAGAAATAGTAGTAGTAGTAGTAGTAGTAGTAGTAGTAGTGGTAGTAGTAGTAGCAGTAATGGTGGTAGTAGTAGTAGTAGTAGTAGTAGTATGAATCAGGTAATAGGTGGTAATAGCTTTAGGAATAAGAGGAGGACGAGGAGGAATAGTAGCAAACATAATAATAGACATAATGATGATAATGATAGTAGCAGTAGTAGCAATAGCAGTAGTAGCTTCAGTAGTAGTAGTGGCGGTAGGAGTAGTAGTAGTGATAGCAGTAGTAGTAGTAGTAGTAGTAGCAGTAGCAGTGGCAGTAGAAGTAGTAGTAGTAGTAGTAGCAGTACTAGTAATAGTAGTATTAATAGTAGTAGTAGTAGTAGTAAGGAAGTAGTAGTAGTAGTAGTAGTAGCAGCAGTAGTAGTAGTAGTAGTGAGTGAAAAATAGAAGTAGCAGTAGTAGTAACAACAGCAGTAGCAGTAGCAGTAGTAGTAGTTGTTGTTGTAGTAGGAAGTAACAGTAGTAGTAGCAGTAGTAGTCGTAGTAGTAGTAGTAGCAGTAGTAGCACTAGTAGCAATAGTAGCACTAGTAGTAAGAGTAGTAGTCGTCGCCGCCGTCGTCGTCAGCGGCATCACTCACACATCATCACCATCATCGTCAGCATCAGCATCATCATCATCATCATCATCATCATCGTCGTCGTCGTCGTCAATCTCCTCCAACGTCATAGTTTCAAACTCATAGTCAGCCTCAACATCCTCACCCTCGTCCTGCTCCCGCTCGCGTTCGTGATAGCCGCCGCTGCTGACGCTGCTGCTGCTCATGCCCCTGTGCCTGCTCGGGTCACTGGCGGCAGAGGCGGTTCTGCTGATTGTGTCTGTGCTGGTGGTGCTGCCCACGGTGGTCCCAGCGCTGATACGGGTGCCAGTGCTGGTGCCAGCGCCCGCGCTGGCGCCGTTGCCCGCGATCGCGCCCCTCGCCCTTCACCCTCTTCGCCACGTGGGCACAGAAGGGCACCCCAAAGAGTGCCGAAGCTCTTCTTCGAACGGCACTCTGTCGTCTAGCTCTTCGCCACGGCACGGAAGAGCCTCAGGCTGCAACAGGGTGCCGAATATCTTCCTCGAGCGGCAGTCCGTCGTCTAGCTCTTCGCCACAGCGCTGAAGCCGCTCCTCCTCCGTCCTCCGCCTCCTTCCGCTCCGTCTGCGCCGGGCGGGTCCCAACGCTCAGGGCGCGCCTCTATGACCTTTTTCGCAAACTCCGCCTCGAATTTATTCCCCACGAGGGACACCTGCGAGCGGCACGAAGCGGGGAAGACAAGAGGGGAGAGAGAAGGAAAGGGGTAGGAGATAAAGTTCTGACCACGCCCGCCCCTCAGGGAAGCAGCGGAGGTGGTCACCTGTTCCGCCCAACGGAAAGGAGTCGGCGGCCACCTGCGCCCCTGAGGTGCTTTCTGGGAATCGTAATTGAAGAAACGGGCGTAGGCACACGCTCCAAAGGTGGAGCATCGCCGATGCACTGGCGAAAAAAGGCTGGAAACGGCATTGCCAAGCGACACCACATCGCCGACGCACCTGCAGTGTATCACCGATGCGGTGCGATACGGCCCCGACGGCCCCAACAGACCCACTATCAGTATCGCCCAGGACGGCTCACACGTGACTGCCTTCTGGGCGGTGCTCGAAGGGTCGCCTCACGGACTTCTTCGCTGGCACTGTGACGGATCTGCCGCAGGCACCTGGATACGTTGAGAATGGGAAGGAGCACGACGCCAGCGCGACGACGTCAACGACGACCGACGGAGAGAGACGCGCCGACGACGACGGCGGCGGCGCGACGTCGGCAACGGCGAAGGGGGCGGCGACGACTCGACGACGAAGCGGAGGCCTGGGGCGGACGCGCTTGCGGCGCGTGCCCCCCCCCCCAGGGGCGCCTCCCGGGCGTACCGGGCCTCCTTGCCAGCGCCGAACCTCCGCCGCGACGTGAGAGGGTGGGGCTGCCCCGCACCCCCCCCGGGGAGAGACACGGCGGCGACGGCGACGGACCCCTCCTTCTGATCTGAGGCCAGGTCGAGCAACGCACCAAATTGCACGCACGCCCACACCAGCAGAACTTCGGCGGAACCGCGAGGAAGGCGGCGAGCAGCGGCAGCGCGTCCTCCTCCTCCTCCTCCTCCTCCTCCTCCTCCTCCTCCTCCTCCTCCTCCTCCTCCGCCTCCTCCTTTTCCACCTCCACCTCCTCCTCCTCCTCCTCCGCCTCCTCCTCCTCCTCCTCGTCCTCGTCCTCGTCCTCCTCCTCCTCCTCCACCTCCTCCTCCTCCTCCTCCTCCTCCTCCTGCAAAACCCCGAGGAGGGTTCTGCACGGGAGCCTGGCAATAATGATAACGATAGGTCACCTTTATACTCCCGAACGGCAGAGCAGGTCTATGTAGCTTCGGCCGTTAAACACTTGAGCCAAAGGCAGCAGGGTTGCTATTCCTCCCCTGTCACACGCACGCTTGCATGTTGACACCCCCCCTCGGACGCCAGTCCGCATTGGCTGACGGGGAGGTGCCTATAAACGCAAAAACAAGTTAAATCAAGCAACAGGCTGTATGGACATCGTTATGTTACCGAATTCGAAATATCTCGTAACAACGTTCACGAGCACCACGTCTCTCAGACATGCAACGTGAGCTCAAGTAAACATTCAATCAGTTACGAGTTTAAAAATAGCATCCAAAGTTCACACGGCAGGCTAGCATTTATATGGTTTTGATTGCTTTCGCTTTTTATGCGCCAATACCTGCGGTAACTATAAAAGATGCACATGCAAATAGATTCAGCTCAATGGTCTACCGCAACGCTATTGTTAAGCCTGGTTGAGAGGGGAGATGAAAAAGAGCGTAAAAGAAAAGCATGCCGGTCACCTGTCACCGTTTACGAGCGGCGCGGGCGCCTCACTGACGGAGCACGCGCGCCCCTGGACTTCGGTAAACCACGGTGCCCCACGCTGGCCGCCGTATAGGACGACACCCTGTTAAGAGCCTGCGTCGGGCTGTAATAGTCGGTGTCCAGGTACGCGTTAATGCGCTCCTCGTCGTCCAGCCAGCACCCCTCGTCAAAGCTCTTGGTGGACCCGTCAACAATGTTGTGGTAAGTGCCGATGGCCCTCCACTAACTGGCGTGGGGAGCCTTCAGCAGAGGTTTACCACCTGGATTGTTGCGGAGGTGCTCTTCGACCGCAACTCCGGTAAACGGGTTCACAGTCCAGGCCGGGTCGGTAAGCCAGTTGGGGAAGTCGTCGCACGGCAACCATCCAAACCAACAGAGCTTCTCGCGGTGGTCACTTTGACGCTCGGTGATGTGATCAGCAGGCCAGTTGTCACGGTAAAGTGCCCTCATGGACCCCTGATCGTTAAGAGCGACGTCTAGGATGGTCTGGTGCCAGTAAACCGGAGGCTTGTTGATGCTGCCCTTTAACTCCTCGGTGCTCCTGACCTCGAGATCCTCGATGAAGTAGTTGCGGTGATACACCTGGAGCCCGTTCATGTAACGGCAATAGAGCTTGGCAAGGTCGTGCGTCGCAAACCTGATCACGGTAACCCCAGTTGAGATGTAACCGTGCGGTCCGTAAGTGTCTTCCACCAGGTGCTTAACGGAGACCACGGCGGGGTTGCCGTGGGGCAGCATCCCGGCCCACGTTAGCAGAAGGCCGTTAAGCTGCTTCTCGTTCATTTCTGGTGCTTTGTTGACGTAGACCTGTGTATCTGGGCAGCTGTGAACGTCGAACCACACTGGGTGGAGATCGTTAACGTGGACCGGCGGCACGTACTCGTCGTCGAACAGGGATTGTACGTGCCCGACCGCGTCAACCCACTCGTCGTGCTTGGCCAGCTCCTTCTCCGTCAACTGAGATCTCCAGCTGCACGGGCCTTTCAACACTGAGTAACCGAGGAAGCCGTAAGCGTGCTGCCCGTAAATGTCGACGAACACCTCATCGTAGTCGTTAAGCTCCCGCCCCGCGTTGCCCTGAATAGACCGACCACCTGGAGTCGTTAACCCCTCTTTAGCCACATGTCCGACGAAGTTGCCTTCGAACCTGCGCCAGTTGTCGCGCGTCTTCATCGTTAACGCGACTACTTCCCTGGGGTCGGACTCCACCTTGTAGTTGACGTCGTGGTCCTCGCTCCTGTCGTTCACCATGGGCATGCGGCCGTTGACGTGGTACAGTGGGCGGCACATGCCCCTGGCAACGTTCCGCGAGTATGCCGCAAGCTGCTCGTCCGTACGGTTAACAGCTTGAGGCTGCGGTGGAGGAACGTGCTGGGTCGATAACTTCTTGGGCACCGGAGGCGGGGGATTCATGCCGCTAACACTGCTCGATGCACCTGACTCGCCAAGGCCTGGAGGAGGCGGCTTGGGCGCCCTCACGTTCACCACCGGGGCAGGACCTTTTGGTACTTCGTCACGTTGACTGCCCTGCGCACGATCTTCATCCATCTTCATTCCCAGCTGCAATAACTCCTCCAGTTCCCGTTTTCTTGTAGACAGGTTGAGGAGACGTTGACTGCGGGATCTTATTCGGCGACACGGATCGACCGAACCCTCCGGTCTTGGGTGCGGTGCCGGTAAAGCCCTGAGCCGGGGGTGCACCCGATGCCGCAGCAGCTCGGGCTAGAGGCTTGCTGGCCTCGGCCGCCGCGTTGACTGCAGTGGGAGGCTCCTTGGCGGCCACTGCCGTTGGGGGCTGCTCGGGTAAGGGCGGAGGAACCTGCGGGATGTTGGTAACCGGGGAGTTGATCGGGTCATGCAAGAACCTCTGTAATCCTTCGAGCCTCTCGGTCACTCCCACCAACATGCGCAATGCCGCATCACGTTTACCCTCGAAGTCCTGCAGGGGCGCGATGTTCTCGGCAAGGCGCTTGGCGGTGTTCAAGAGGTAACCAATGTTGTCGTTGATGCGCCTATACTTGGTTGCATTCTCCTCCGCGTTAACTCCCGAGTCACGATTCTGAATGTTCAGGTCCGTAATCGTCGCCATCAGAGCGTTAATCTCCGCCTGCGCTCTTGGGAGATTCTCGTTGACGTCGTCACTGTCCTGGATCCGCGCCTCGTTCTGCCGCGTTAATTCCTCGATCCTCTTCGCCATGTCATCCGCGGCCCTTTGCACCTCGTCAACGTGTTTGTCGTAGGCTCCGTGAAAGTTGATCGCAATGTTAGTGAGGGTTACGGTAAACGCGTGGGCAACGTGCACCATGTCGTCAACACGGCGGTTGAGGTTCTCACGCGTAACCGGTCCATCTCCAGCCGGGCTCTGGTCGACCATGGAGCCGTTAATGGTGAGGTTGACCTGGGGGGCCGCCATGCCTTCGTTCACGCCCAAGAGTAAGAGGTAATGGGTGGAGAAGGCCTTCAATAGCGGCAGCTTGCTTGACAGAAATGAGCTGCGAACATCAACATTCGGTAGCTGGCGCAAGCTCATGCCTACCTGTTAATGCACATTGATTCGTGTTTCGTAGATGCGTGCTCATGCTTTCACGACTGACATACTTGGTCAACGCATCTGCTGCATTCTCGTGTGTCCCTACGTTCACTATGCGAATCACTCCCTCCTTAACTTTCTGCTGTAACCACAATTGACACACCTCGATATGTCTCACTTTCCCCAAGCCTCGTCTGCTCGCAATGGCAATCGCAGCCGTGGCGTCGCTCTTCATTGTAATCTCAACTTCCAAGTTAAAGTCTCTTAATACTGCCTGAAGTCCTAAACCCACTGATCCTCCTTTCACAAGTCCATAATACTCTGCTTCACCTGACGATAATGCGATGACACTCCGAGTCGTGCTCCAAGATTTTATAAGATGTTTACCCCACATTACTACTCCTCCACTCGTAGACTCCCTCGTTCGCTTACACCCTGCGTAATCCGTGTCGGTCCAAATAGTTAATTCTTGGGGCTGCTCCTGATATTGATACACATAGCTGCTTCTGCTGTGGTACTTCAAATACTTTCCTAACTTGACTAAACTCTTCCAAGAACTCATCGTTGGCTTTGACATGGCCCTAGCAAGTTCCTTTACAGAATACTGTATGTCAGACCTGTCCTGAGCTAAGTAATTTGTTCTGGCCGTCAACGCTTGATATATTTTAGTCATGTTGGGCGAAAGTTCTACCTCATCTCCCTCTTCAACTGGAATTCGCTCACCTGGCACTTCAGTCCTCACTTTTACTCCTTCTAGCTCAAGCTCTTTCACAATTATCTCTGCATGCCTTTGATCTGCCTCATACCTCAATCCTTCCTTCGTTCATTCCACAATCCTGTTAAGAATTCTGATCGCCTTCATGTCCTCCTTCCCTGGTCCAAGTCGCCCTCTCACCTTCACTTCAAACTCCTCCTTAATTGTATGTTCAACCCAGTCGAGATCATGATCACCTCCTAACAGCGTGAAATCATCTCCATGAACTGTTAACCATAACGCTCGACTCTCATGCTTGAACACGCATGGTGACGCAATTCCGCTCTTGAACCCAGCCTCGTTAGCAAAGTCCATGTAACAGTCTTCCCAGTTGCTCGCAGCGTCTCTGGTTCCGTACATTGATTTTAACAGTTTTCCGCACATACCTGGTTCATAGTCTTCGTCTGGTAACCTGATAAATATGTCTTTCTTTGCTGGAGCGTAAAAATAAGCTCGTTTGATGTCAACGAATGCTAACTTTAATCCTTTCTCACGCTCACCGTTCGCGAATCCAACTCCCTCGGCAACTGCCATTGAGAAAAGCAGTTTTTGTGCCTCCAGTGGAGGTGTAGCTGCGAATATGTTCTTTTCTTTGGAATTGTATTTAACCTGCTGGGCTACCAGCCTTGATCTGTGGTCTGGGCTTAACTCATCTCCTTTGTCGATGTCTATCCATCTGGTTCCGATGGGCGCCTTCCCCGTGATTTGCCAGCACATTTCCTCCTTCACTTTCTCGTAAACTTTGTGTTTTCT